CTTAAAGGCTTGTCTTCAAACAAGCAGTCATCTGAGTGAAGCATCAACTAAGTCCACGTGAAAGAAGCACACCTACCTCTGTGATCCAAGGATGATAAATAACAAAATCCAGGTCCGAAGGAGGGAAAAATATCAGAGCTTAAATTGTGAACACCCAGTTTGCAGAAGGCTATGGATGACAGTGGGAGTCCAAAACCTATCTACAGGGACCCTACATGGATTAAGCTACTTGGTGGATCCCCTCTGATCATAGTCTAAGGACATGAATAACTTTTCTATCAGACAGAGACTATTGTAACTTGATGTGGCAGATGGAATTAGCTTATAATGTGGAACCTTGATCCATTTAGATTTGTTCTAGTTTTCAACATTTCCTACTTTTTTCATGACAGGGTATTAAAGAGCAAGGATGTCATTTTGAAGACTAAGGTTCACCTGACCCAAGCCAAGGTATCTTTAATCACTTCATACATATATGAAAGTTGGACATACCCAGAATCTCACCCAGAATTCATTTAGATTATTAAGAAAATGAGACTTTAATTAGAATTGATGCTGGAATGAGTTAAGACTTTTAGGAATGCTGGGATGGAGTGAATGTGTTTTCCACATGGTAAGAACATGAAGTTTGAGGGTCCAAAGGATAGATTGTTATGGATTAAATTTGTCTTCCCTAAAGTTATGTTGAAGTCCTAACCCTTTATACTTGTGAATGTGACCTTATTTAAAAGAAGTGACTTTGAGGTATTATCACTTAACATGAGGTCATACTTGAGTAGGGAAGGTCCTAATTCCATCCGTAAAGAAGACAAAGGAGACAGACAGACTGATGAAAGAGGCCAATGTGATGATAGAGCTATGCTGCACTTGCAGAGAATATGACCCAGCTGACATCCATAAATTGCACACATAGCATCTATCACTATGAGACAATAAATTTCTGTTCTTATAGGCTACCAATTCGTGGTCTTTTACTAAGGCAGTCCCAGGAGACTAGTACAAATACCCTTCTGCCCATCTGTTTCTATGAAACAAACCAGCCTCAGAGTAACTTAAAATAATAATTAAAAACACAAAACAGAAACCTCGCTGCCATTGAGTCAATTCCAACTCACAGCGATCCTATAGGACAGAGAGGAACTATCCCTGTGTATTTCCAAGACTGCAACTCTTTACTGTGGTAGAAAGCGTTGTCTTTCTTCCTTAAAGTGGCTGGTGGTTTTGAACTGCTGATCTGTGATTAATAGCCCAACCCATACCAACGATATTACCCTAGTAGGCATTGATTAGGCTCAGCTGGTGGTTTTGACTTGGAGTCTTATGTATTTACAGTAAGATGATGTTTGGGAATGATGTCATTTGAAGGCTCATTCACTTGCACGTGTGACATTTGGACTGGGAATAATAAAAAAGCTGGCATATCTTTCTCTGTTGCTATATGGTCTCTTCATGTGGTTTCTCTTTGTATGGAAGCTTCAAAGTATCTAGATTTCTTACATGGCAGCTCTGGTCTCCAAAATCTGTGGAGAAATGAATGAGGGAGGGCTTCAGCACATAACAACTCCAGCATATACTAGTGCAAAAGCTGGACTGTATTTTCTGACCTAGCATCAGAAGTCCTGAAGTCTCCCTTACCACATCTATTTTTAGGCAGCCACAAAGGTCCACCAAGGTCCAAGGAGAGGGAACACAGACATCACATCATGGAGGAGTGGCAAGATTCTGGAAGAATATGGTGGATTGGCAATATAGTTGCAGTCAATTTTGGAACATTTAAAATGACTACAAATACTATTGAGCTTCAACTTAAAAAAATAATTTTATTGGGGGCTCACACAGCTCTTATCACAATCCATCCATCCGTTGTGTCTAGCACATTTGTAAATATGTTTCCATCATCATTCTCAAAACATTTTCTTTCTACTTGAGTCCTTGGTATCAGCTCTTCATTCCCCCCCCCACCCTCACGAACACTTGATAATTTGTAAGTTTTTTTTCATGTCTTACACTGACCGATGTCTCCCTTCACCCACTTTGCTGTTGTCCATTCCCCTGGGAGAGGGGTTATAGATAGATAATTGTGATCGGTTGCCCCTTTCTCCAACCACCTTTCTCTTCCCCTCCTAATATCGCTACTCTCATTAATGGTCCCGAGGGGTTTATCTGTCCCGGATTCCCTGTGTTTCCAGCTCTTATCTGCACCAATGTACATGCTCTGGTCTAGCCGGATTTGTAAGGTAGAATTGGGGTCATGATAGGTGGGGGGAGGAAGCATTAAAGAACTAGAGCAGTGGTTCTAATCTTCTTAATGCTGTGACCCTTTAATACAGTTCCTCATGTTTTGGTGACCCCCGGCCATAAAACTATTTTCATTGCTACTTCATAACTATAACTTTGCTACTGTTATGAATTGTAATGTAAATATTTGACATGCAGGTTGTATTTTCATTGTTACAAATTGAACATAATTAAAGCATTGTGATTAATCATAAAACAATATGTAATTATATATTGTGAAATATTTTTTTCTAATTTTTTAATCATTTTAGTGGGTGCTCGTACAATTCTTATCACAATCCATACATACATTGTGTCACGCACATATGTACATTTGTTGCCCTCATCGTTCTCAAAACATTTGCCTTCTACTTGAGCCTTTAATTTCGGCTGCTCATTTTCCCCCTCCCTCTGCAATCCCCCCTGCCTCATGAACCCTTAATAATTCATAAATTATTATTTTGTCATAAGTTACACTGTCTGACATCTCCCCGCCCTCTTCTCTGCTGTCCATCCCCCAGGGAGGAGGCTATATGTAGATTCTTGTAGTCGGTTCCCCCTTTCTACCCCACATTCCCTCCACCCTCCAGGCATCGCCACTCTCACCAGTGGTCCTAAAGGAGTCATCAGTCCTGGATTACCTGTGTTCCCAGTTACTATCTGTATCAATGTACATCCTTTGGTCTATCCAGATTTGTAAGGTAGAATTGGGATCATGATAGTGGCAGGGGGTGGGGGGAGGAAGCATTTAAGAACTAGAGGAAAGTTATATGTTTCATCGTTGCACCCTGACTGGCTCATCTCCTCCCCATAACCCTTCAGTAAGGGGGTGTCCAGTTGCCTATCGATGGGCTTTGAGTCTCCACTCTGCACTCACCCACCTTTACAATGTTATGATTTTTTGTTCTTTGATGCTTGATACATGATCCCTTCGACAGCTCATGGTCACACAGGCTGGTGTACTTTTCCCATGTGAGCTTTGTTGCTTCTGAGCTAGTTGGCCGCTTGTTTATCTTCAAGCCTATAAGACCCCAGATATTTTATCTTTTGGTAGCTGGGCACCATCAGCTTTCTTCACCACGTTTGCTTATGCACACGTTTGTCTTCAGTGCTCGTGTCAGGGAGGTGGGCAGAAATATTTATTTCTAATTACAAATAAATGAAATGTTGTCCTGAAGTATGGTGTAGCATGGGTAACAGTCTTCAGGCTGGGTACTCATATGTGGGCATATCTGCATGTGGGCGGACCTGCCGAGAGATGGCTAGAAGAGCGGTGTCTCGGTTCCTAAGTCCATTGGAAATGTGTGTTTTCTGATGGTCTTAGGGTGGCGACCCTTGTGAAAAAGTCATTTGACCCACAAAGGGGTTGCAACCCAAAGATTGAGAACCGCTGAACTAGAGGAAAGTTGTATGTTTCATCGGTGCTATACTGCCCCCTGACTGGCTCATCTCTTCCTATTACCCTTCTGTAAGGGGATGTCCAATTGTATACAGATGGGCTTTGGATCTCCACTCTGCACTCTCCCTCATTCACATTGATATGATTTTTTTGTTCTGGGTCTTTGATGCCTGGTACCTGATCCCATCAACACCTCATGATCACACAGGCTGGTGTGCTTCTTCCATGTGGACTTTTAAACTTGTAATTTTAATGTAGCTCCTGAGTTGTCCTTACTATGAACTATTGAGAGAAGTCCTTTCCTTGACTTTCCTGGAAACCAAGAGTGTATAGCATTATGATCAATAAGTTCAGTTTTTAGCATGAATTTTAGTGCTAACATTAAATTTTCGCACAAATTAGATAAAACTTTATTGTTCTTATGTAACATTTCCCCCTATTACTATCCAGGTTTTTGGTGTTTGGAATTTCGGTAGGACCCTGCATGGAACTTAACGGAATATGGATTTTTGCAGGCACTGGGTGGCAGTCCCGAGGAAAAGGGAAGGATGATAGTAAAAATCTCCTTGAAGAGATTCCCCTGCTGTAAAAAAGAGAGTCAACAAACTTGAGCGAGAGTGTCACCTTCAGGGGAACAAGAAAGGGTGCCATGTTTCAAATATAGTTTCTACCGCATGCTATCTCTTCCTTATTTTTTTTCTGTAAGCATTGTATTCTTCAGTGAATCCTCTTAAAAATGATACTCTTCTGGCAGCGAGAACATGGGCAGGTGGTACGGATTTCACAGTGCTGCAATAAACATTTGAGCACAGTGCTAAGCTCTGAGAATTCATGTATTAATAATTTGAATTCTCTTTTCTTTCGTGACCGGAAACGAGATGGAGCAAAACTTTTAGTTCCTGAGACTTTGTTCTGAGAGTCTCTGCCCTCCAGAGTCCACTTCATACTTTTACTCAGAGTTGCGCCTGGCCCGAAGAATCAACCAATGACTCTCTGCTTTACCAGGAGGTCGACATCAAAGGGCTCTCCATCCTCAGGCCCACTGACCCAGCTTTAAAAACATCTGCTCGTCACCTACCTAGAATGGCATGTACTCAGTGTCTTCTGCTTCAAGCTTCACAGTCCAGAGTAAGTCAGTTTATTCCTCAAGGAGTGAAGGAGATATTTTAACGCTCTCTCCCAATGCCCAGCCCTTATTCAGACCTCACATTGCACTCCACGAGGGCAGAGAGGTTTGAACGACACCTAGCATTTTCTGGGGAGTTCTGGAGTTGAAGGCCCTCTGAGAAAGGAGGAAAGAGAAGTGTAAAGGGTAGCAAGCATTATGCTCATCCGGAGGCGCTTTGGTAGTGCGTCCAGAATGTTACAAACTGGCCCGTGGTCACACGCTTGCAGTGGCACCAGCCAGGACTCCCTACTGCACAGCAATTGCTGCGCCCGGCAAGGACGACCTCTGGCGTCCCGCTTAGGATGCGCAGCGGCGTGTGTCTGGGACCATCCCCGCGACCCCCGACTACATCCAGATGCCCAAGGACTTGGGTGCAGAGTTCAGAGAGACATGGGGCCACTGGCCCAGCCCTTAGGTCCGAAGGCGACAGCTGACCCGGCTTCTGTCCCACAATTGGTGCGGGGCGCGGCTGGGGG